GCTACGCGCGTTAGTCAAGCGTGGGGAGCATGTACAGGCAGATGTGGTGCTCGCGCTGTCGACACGCGAGCCTGCGGTAATGCTTAGGCTTTTCAAGGGCGCGCTGGCTGACGCGCCCCCATTGACGCTGCATGTCCGGCTGGACCTATTCACGAGCAAGGACTTGCCTGCACTTGAGGATGTCGCCACTGCGTATGGGCCTGGAGTGACGGCGGCGTGGCACAAGGGGAGGATTCCGGCATCGTATTGGAGGGAAGCCGCAGAGGGGCGGGACGTGTTCGTGTGTGGTCCGGGAGGCTTTGGCGATGCGGCTGTGCATGGGGTAAGGGCTGCGGGCGTTCCGAACGACCGTATACACAGGGAAGGGTTCGCATATTGAAATATTGAAGGGGTTCGCCGCATGTTGACCTGTTCGTACGGTCGCTCTCAATTGACTGCCTTTCCGTCAGACTCTGCTAACCCAGAAGCTCGACGGTGAGATAGATGTCTCGTGGTTCAGGCTGCAATTGCGCATGCATGTCTTGACATCCTTGAGTTGAGGATATCAAGTCTGTCGACAACTGGCGTCGTCGATAATCAGCTTCCCTCACCTCCTGCGGTTGCATCTGCGAAATACTTTCTCCTACCGTGTCTTGGTGAGTAATGTGAATCCTCTACATCGACGTCGTTGACGTGAGTAATATCACAAAAGCGTACTATGCGGCTTCTACACACCCTGACGGGCCATCTTGTCGAGGTCGTTCTCCAGCTAGACGTCCGAGTATAAATTCGCAAGTCTTTGTTCGGCGTCCGTCTCGACCTCCGTGTCATTTTACATATCAACCGCCCTTCAACAATCGGGGTCCCCAGATACCCTCAACTGTCTGCCGGACTCGAGTCTCTGCAGTCCGAGCTGGTTGAAGAATCAGGCACAGCTGCGAGCCCTGCGCCTTTGAGCAGACTACGCGAGAGACCAAAACCTGGGAAGCGGAAGTGACAAAGTCGTAGAGGAGAGGTCTTGAGTCTTGACCAAGTATCTCACTTGATTGTAGATATACGTGCCATGATGCCTATAGGAGAGAAACCATCGGCGTTTGGCCTTGGCATTTGTCGTCCAATCACGCGAGATACGAAACCAGCGAGCACACCCACCTATTCCGGTCTGTACGCTTTTCTGCCTCAGACAGTCGTACCATACATACACCATGACAATCAACACCCACAACTTCACGGCCACCCAGTTTTCCCCATTACATGCTGTACGCGGGTCCTGCTTCACTGGATCATGAATTACTTGTATTTGGACGCAAACCGTATACCCGATATTCCGTCTGAACCGCCTGTCTAGATGATCTCTATGGACGAAGGGGCCGTTTACCATAGCAATGCCACCAACTTACTACACCCTCGTCACACACCAGTACAGGAACCAATACCGATCGGTGTTCTCTTGGAAGTCCCAACCCCCCGTTTCAATCAACTTGGTCTCAACCTTCACGGTGCCCTTGACGAAGAGTTCTCCATCCCACAGGGCCGTCCAGCTTTCAGGAGAGTGATAGAAGGTCGAGACATCCTTGCCTCCCGCGCGAGTAATGAATGTACCCTTCTCGGGCCGGCCGGAGTGGACACCGATGAGCATCGAGCCTGTTTCGGGGGAGAGTAGGCCAGCGATCGCCCGAGCGAGCTGTAGCTGACCAGCCTCGTCGAAGACGTGGAAGACCGAACAGACCGAGATGGCGGAGACGTGGCCATGGAGGGGGTTTAGCGACGTGAGCGACGAGAGCTTGGGGACGGTAGTGTAGGGTTTCGTGTAGAAGGGGTGTGTGACGGCCAGGAACTCCGGGTTGAGGGAGTCGCCTGCGAGGAAGGGTACACGGTATGTCTCTGGGGTAGTGTTGAAAAGCTTGTGGCCGAGTTTGAGAAACTCGGGGTGGAGGTCGGTAGCCATACAGCTCTCCATGGGGTAGCCGTCAGCGACCAGCTTCCTCACGTCATTCCCAACTGCCATAGTAATGAGGAGCTGTTGCGTCACACAGAAAGGCATACAACTTACAGCAGCAACCGATGTCAAGGAAGATGGGATTCTTGCGCGACTTTCCAAGTTCCAGTAGTTTTTCATAGCCAGGAAGACGTGCGAGCTTCAGTCTGCCCGATTCGTATC